TATTAAAAAATCATAAATATCATTGGAAAAAATTTAAATTATATAATGATTGATACTATTTATTAAACTTATATTAAAAATTATAAGTATATATGTATTACTTTTGAGTATCTACGAAAAGATAGATCCTGAAATATTTTGGTTGTGTGTTTTAAATTAAAATCGGACAAATGTAATAGCCTTTTTAACACATTAGCTTGTGTTTGATTTTAAAAAATTTGATTGAATTACTTCGAACCGATAGATTTTAATACTAAAAAATAACCTGCCCCCCACCAAGGCCACCACGGAAAGCATAAAATAGCTAACTGGTAGGTTTCAAAACAAACAAAAACCAATTTTTTTAAACAAAGGTCATATAGAGTTTAAACTAAAAATATACACAAACATAAAGTTTCGAGTATAGCCATTGTTGGCCGGTAAGGTGGGCACAACACTCGATAGTTGCTCATATACAACGCACACTCACGCCTCCGTGGGAAATCGAGTTCATCCAACAACTGGTGAATCGGATCAATTTCAGGGAAAATGTTGGGAATCGGAAGAGTTCCACGTTGAAATGTTAGAGAGCATCGGTTTAATCGACGGATGCCCTGTCGATACAAAGAGCACTGGACTAAGTTAGGAGGGCAACATCTGATTACCGTTAGCTCTCTAGTGTGGAAGTATAGATGGTGCACGAAGTTGGGAGGGTGGACGATCGGTGGTAGGCGAAGTTAGGCCGGGTGGACGAGGAGAGGTGGAGACCATCGGATTAACCGATGTCTCTTCCCCGGGATGAAGGTCTTATGTACGGATGAATTGTTAGGATATTAAGGGGCTTATGTATGAAGAATTGACTTTCATATGTAATGGAATCATACGGGTATTAAATATGGGCATTTGGGTTTGGGTTGGTAGACAATACTCTATATATTACTCCGTAGTAATGTCTATGTTGGCCTCGAATTTCCTCAATGGGCTGAAATAAAAATTGTATCTACTTTACAAGGTTTAAAAAGGTCCAAATAATTTTTGAAAGATTTATCAATTAATATCCTTTTTAAAAAAATAATGGATTATTAGATTATAAAAAATAATGCTCTCATATTGATAAATTAGGTATTTTAATTTATATTATACTCCGTATCAAATCACATCATTAAAAACCTGTGAAATATTTATTAATAATTTCTTTTATAGACATAAATGTTGGGAAAAACTCACTGTTCTCATAAAAACATACTACCATAATTTTGTTTAGTACTTCTATATTACTACCTATGTGTCTTGGGACGGAAAGAGGTGACTCAGTTATTAAAAAAAGTGGGATTATGTGGTTGATATTAATTGATAAAGTAAGAATCAAGTAAGAATGATTTAGAGCCACACAAATTTTACCAAATTGTGTATGAGACAATTTTAGTAGGATTTTCCGAAATGAAAAAATGAGATAATATTAGCGGGACAGAGGGAGGATAATACAAGTTATGAATTATATATTTTAATGAAAGTGATTTGAACAAAGGACATTTTCCTATCATTTTTTAACTTTAAATAATTTCTCATAAAAATGTAGTTGGTCAAAGTTCAACATGATTGACCACAAAAATTAAAGATCATATAAACTATCATCGATAAAACAAATGGTACTTCTTACTTTAATACTTTTATAATCCTAAAGATAATACTTTTTAATACTTCTGACTATTTAATTAAATGCCCTTTTTACTATTTCGACTTATTAAAAATATCGGTGTTTAGCATGGTCAACTATATATTGCCATACCGAGAGTAGCAATTGTAAGCGTTTGAAAATATGGATCTGTAGTAAAGATGACAAACATATCCACCCCATTATCATTATCTATTTATTCTTTCTTATTCCAAATCATACTTCAGTATCAATTATGTGCCATAACTATCTTTTTCTTAATTATAATTTTGTTGATGGATACCCTTTGTATTCATTTTACATACAACAACAACATCCAAGCCTTAATCCCAAAACAATTTGGGTTCGGCTAACATGAATCGATCTATGACATCGATGCCAAATTAGAAAAGATAGACAAGAAAGGGATTGTATTCATTTTACATATTAACTAATAATGTTAACAAATAATATCATATAATTAGTATTTATTTATGTCACGTGCATCGCACGGGTGAGAATCTAGTATTTATGACTACGTTGTGAAAAATAACGTTAATCAATAGAAACAACAAAGTTAGAGTTGGTTGTCATTTGAATGGAAGGAAGTTTGGGACATAATATACAAACACCGTATCATATCAACAAAACATGAAACATAATTTAATAGTTATACATAGTACTATAAAATGCACAACTCAATGAAGAACACACCACAACGCAATACGATGAAGTGACAAAAATGCACATAATAATTACAATTAACAGATTACCATCCGCTGATAAAAGCATGAGAGTACGAATATACACATCCTGACATCCACGATGCAAATTAGACCGTGGGATCGACCCACCTTTCGCATAGTGTGCTGATCCCACTTTAGGCTTTGCGTTCTTTTTCCTTTACTTTTCTGTCCATTGCTTTCACGTTCGTCCCTGGACATTTTTTTTTGTTTATTTTTATTTCAACTTCTTCATGTATATTCCAACCACTTGTTACTTTGATCTCCTTTTGAACTTTTCTTTTTTCTTTTACCATATAAGTTACGTAGTACTCCCTCCGTCCCATTGGACTTTCCAACTTTCCCTTTTTAGTCGTCTCTAAAAACTTTGCCACTTTCAATTTAAAACAACTAATTTGTGGTTCTGCACATTTCTCTATTCTCCGCACAAATCTCGACCACACAGTTTTTACTTTTCTTATGTCTCACCTACTTTGCACTTGGCAAAGTCCACCGGGATGAAGGTAGTATAATTTACCATATAAAAGTTTTTTTTCTTCTTCCTCCTTAAAGGAATAGTTTAGTAAAATTAAATTTTGAAAGTGTCAATATTAGTATTAAAAAAGTTTATCGATCTAGATAAAATAAGTATACTGCATTTCATATTCATGCACTATTTTTTTATGTAATATTTATATATTCATATATTTTTTTAGTAATATTCGTTTTATATTCATACAGTTTTTTGTAATATTTTTTATATGCACACACTTTTTCTACAATATTTTTTTCACTTTTATATGTTTTTAGAGGGTTTTAAGACATTGAGTTTGTTTATTTTGATTCTTGAAGTTACATTTGACAATATAACATGAAGTTATATCTTCTTATGCGCGAGTTACATCTTAATGTACGAAAATGACATCTTGATGCATGCGAGTTTCACCATGAAATAAACCTCCGCTCTATCATTTTTATATCCCTAATATTAAAAATAAAACATATTCACTATTTAAAAAAAGTAATTGGGCCATTAGAATAATTTTTCATTGTTTACATTGAAATCAATGTATATAATATATAAATCGTCGTTCAATTTTCCAACAAAATACGTTCCGTATACACCTAAGTTATACTACCTCTGTCCCTTAAAACTTTGACAAAGTTGACCGGCACGGAGAATAATAAAGTAAAAACTGTGTGGTTGAGATTTGTGCAGAGGAGAGAAAATGACAGAAACCACAAAATAATGGATTAAAAGGGATAGCGACAAAGTTTTTTGGGACGTCCCAAAAAGGAAAGATGACAAAGTTTTAAGGGACGAAGGGAGTATTTGCCATCAACGCGAGTTACATTTGTAATAACATGAGTTACATTAAAAAATCAACCCCTGCTATTGAAACAAAAAAATGATTTTATTTTTAAAATCATTTTTTATGGTCATGATATTAAAAACAAAATATATTCATGGTTTACCCAAAGCAATTGTGCAATTAGACTTTTTTTTCATTGTTTACATTGAAATCAATGTTTTATTTCTTATACTATGTATTTGACAAGTTACATTTCGATTGAACTCGAGTTACATTGATCAATTAAATTTCTTTACACGCGAGTTACATCATTCATTCTTCTGGGATAAAAGGGAAAGAACAGTTACTGTTCACGCGTGTTCTGTTCACACATGTACTGTTCACGCGTGTATTGTTCACACATGAGTTTTTTTTTTAAATTTTGTTAAAATTTCATCATTTTGACCGTATATCATGATGCTCATAGTGAGATGATCCAAAAGTATACGAACCCGTCCACAAGAAAATACAAGAAGATCAATCCAATTTATTGAAATCAAGAGGTTGGGCAAGTTTACCATCGTAATTGTGCTTATGTGCTTACGATTAAGATACTCGGTAGTAGGAGTGCAAATGAGCCGAGCCGCTCGTGAGCTGCTCGGTCAAAGTTCGAATCGAGTTTGGTCTAACTCGAGCTCGAGCCGAACTCGAGTCGGCTCGTTAAGCAGTCGAGCCATAAACGAGCCTAATAATTTAAGGCTCGCTAGCTCGCGAGCCGGCTCGCGAGCCTAGTTTTATGTGTGTATATTTATATATTTAATATATATAATATTAATTAATATATAATATATATTAGTATATATAATATATATAATACTGATTGGTAAATGTATATGAGGATCGGGGAGATATTATATTTTCCGTTCCCGTAACTCTAGTTTCAGTTAAATCATCATGGTTTGATCATTTTTTATTTATTTCGGATAACATTTACTCTACTTTTAGTTGTTGGACATGTAAATTTTAATTTGCAAATACTAAGCACAAATATTCAAAGATTGTTTCATACTTGAGCTCGAGTTCGAACCCGGACTTTCAAGCTAATTGAACTTGTAACATTTAAGTTGACGAACCAAAATTATCGAGCCAAGTTAAGCCGAATCGAGCCATGTCAATATTTGCGAGTCGAGCTCGAACCTGAATTTTTTAAGTTCGTTCGAGCCGAGCTCGAACTCGAGCCAATACAATATATTTCGAGCTCGAGCTCGAACCTACGTAAACTCGGGCTTGACTCCCCTCTTTTGCACTTTGCACCCCTACTCGGCAGGATAAATACGATCCAGACTCAACATCATCATACAAAAAACGAGGCGCGGAGAAGCGGGATTTTAGAAAGACTTTCCCCCGGAAAGTAAAAAAGACGGAGCACAGTTCACAGGCAAAGAGAAAAATAACCCTAGCACTATTCCCAACATCTCGAGTACGTACTCTCTCTCTTTACCGGCGTTCCGATTCTTCATAGTTTATGGATTCAATTATTCGAAGCTTATCAATTTCCTTTAACCTGATGGTCTTTTAATTTCCGAATCGAGTTTTTTTTTGTGCTGAACAAAGCTGAACTGAGCACTGTAAATTTTGGAAAGTTGGTTTGATTTTTGTTTTTGTGACGATTTATGCTTATGCAGACATAGCATCAATTTTGAGTTTTCTGAGGTGGTATAGCAATGGGGCAGCAAAGGCCGTCTACGCGAGGTAAAAATAAGAGAAACCGAGCTGATGAAAATGCTGACGCCATTGCTGAAATTTTCAGGTGCATTTTCCGTTAAAAAGATACTCACAGCTTTTATTCGTTACTTTCAGCTTTGAGTTTTAACGGAGTAGATTATGCTATCTCTTTTTCTGAATTAAGACTAAACCTTGTATATTGTGCTGCATAAGCTGAGAACTTTTACCTGACATCTCACTCCATTGCTAGATGAATTTTGCAGAAAACCTTGTCAAATAAAAAAATAGGACGTCCTACTTCTCTCCAGCAGAAAGTTTGTTTGATTCTGCTTCATTAGAAAGTGAAAAACGTATTTATATAATTATATACCATGCATTCCTCTAGGGACAAGTTTATTCAATGTTCTGAATCACTCTCTGTACAAATAACAATTAAAATTTAAATTGCAATTGATAATATTTCCTTCAGCTTCCTTCAAGCAATCCTGCAATCTTTCAATAATTTGATTATAAAAATGTTCAATCAAATTTTGCTGGACAATTGAAATCCCAATTAAAAGAGCCACTTTGATTAATCTCTCTTCTTGATTGTTGTGTTGTACTATTGCTGTATTGCATACTATAAATGAAGGTGCAACAAGCATCCAGTGTTTTGAATTTCATACCGTTTTGGTTCAATTATGTGTCAGTTGTGAACCTATTCCACATGACACTTATTAAGAAGTTTTACTTGCAGGAAAGTCATGAAGGCTAGACAGGTGACCGGAGATGACATAACTCAGCTCTACATGTTATGGAAGCCAGTTTGTCAAGGTTGCCGTGTCAACAGTAAAGACAATCCCAATTGCTTTTGTGGTTTAATTCCACCACCAAATGGAAGCCGAAAAAGTGGTTTGTGGCAGAAGACATCTGAAATTGTCCATTCCATTGGTTATGATCCATCTGATCACCTTCGTGCATCCCCAGACACACCTGCAGGACTCACTAACCTTGGTGCCACATGCTATGCAAACAGCATTCTCCAATGCCTATACATGAATAGATCATTCAGGGAAGGTGTTTTCTCAGTTGAACCTGATGTATTGAAAGGATATCCAGTATTGGATCAGCTTGCTCAGCTTTTTGCTAAGTTACACTTGAGCAACATAGCTGTTGTTGATTCTGCTCCATTTATCCGGACTCTCGAGCTTGATGACAGTGTTCAGCAGGATAGTCATGAGTTCCTGACATTGCTTTATTCTTTGCTTGAACAATGCCTGAGACACTCTAAAGTAGACAAGGCTCGAACTGTTGTTCAAGATCTTTTCCGTGGAGGCGTCTCACATGTCACAATGTAAGTTTTGAGCTTATTAGATTTTGTCCACATGTATTTATTAATTTATTTATTGATTTTCATGAATGAGGGGGGAGGGAAACAAATATTGCATCAAGGGATGTATTTTGGAGGTGCAAAAGATCAGCAATTAATAATTTCAATATTGGATGAATTTATTAAAAGAAAGGGGTGTCTTGTTATGCAAGCAGAATGCCCTCCTTTTCATTTAGGCTTTTAATTTAGGCAGTAAAATGGACGTCTTTGGGTTTCTTCATTATTTCTTGATGGCATTTACCAAGTCAGGAAAAGAAACAAGAATGACTGAAGTCAATAATAATGCATTCAATTAGTTTGTAAACTTTTAACTAGTGGTCAATGCTAACAAAAGTGTTAGTTTTCTATATGCAAAATAAATGGACTCACAGAGTTCTCGAAAATATATAATCTATTCTCATTACTAGTAGCGTGTATGCTACATGGATTGCGCTATGGTTATCTGCACAGCATAAAATAATTGTTTTCTGTTTGAGAGCGAGACGTTCAAAGTCTCTTGGGAAGGGTTTTGGCCTTTGTTGTGAAGAGAACAACTTTAGAGGCTCTATGTGGTGAGTTGGAGACTTGGAGGAGACCAATAACGAAGAATCTAAAGCAACAGAAGTCCACTGTACTTGTAATTGATTACAACTTTAACTTGTTAAATAGTTCATTTACAGATTCTCTATGACATTCGAGACAGTGAGGATTAGAGATTTTAGTAGCCTAAAATGTACCTTTCTTGTAATTGTATTGAATATAAATTTGTTAAATAATTCTCTTTGCTTTCACTCGCACATCACAGCTGAAAATCTTCTCCTTGAACCTATATTTTCCTTAACTTTTAGGTGCTCATGTTGTGGAAATGAATCAGAAGCTTCATCAAAAATAGAGGACTTCTATGAGCTGGAGTTGAATGTTAAGGGCTTGAAGAATTTAGAGGAGAGCTTGGATGAGTATCTTAGCATAGAGAAACTTGAAGGTGATAACCAGTATTACTGTGAGTCATGTGCTACTCGAGTCAATGCTACTCGTAGCATCAAACTGCGTTCTCTCCCTGCAGTCCTTAATTTCCAGCTCAAGCGCTGCATTTTCCTACCAAATGTATGCAAATATTTCTCAATATCTCTATGTTTTTTAATCTAGTTCTATAAATTAAACTATCCAAGTATCCCTCTTCCATTTTACTTTCGTGTTTAGTATGCATTTTGACGTGATTTTCACTATGGGTCATCCGGAAACAGTCTCTTTGTGCTTTAGTACAAGGGTAAGACTGCATACATCCAACCACCCCTTACTCGGAAGTTACTCCACTGTAGGTGGGAGCCTTTGCGGCACTAGGGTAATGATGATGATGATGATGATGATAGAACTATCCCTGCAAGAGGGGAGCCTTGGCACACTGGTTAAGGTGTTGCTTTGTGACCAAGAGGTCACATGATCAACTCTTGGGGGTGGTGGCTTGTAAAAAATTTGATAGGGGAAGGCTTGCCCCTTATACACCCTTGTGGTGGGAACCTTCCTGCGATCCTTGTCTTGCGGGGATGCCTTCGTGCACCGGGATTTCCCTTTTTTAGAAATATTTCTCCAGTTTTATATACATAAATTTTATTCACGGCATCTAAAGTAAATGTTATGAAAACCTTAATCATAAATAATTTAAGTCAAACCTCATTGCCTGAGCTATATAGAAAATGGGAGAGGGAGCAGTGAAGTATCAAAGTGTGCCTTTTCTCTTTGACTTTATGCACCGAAGGGTAGCACTTTACACAAAATGTTGTATGCATCTCAAATTCATCCTTATCATTTCACTATCAGCGTATACCTGACAAAAATGTTTTTTCCCGAAGCTGATGTATTGTCATAATTTTCTTTTCATTTCTATAAATATCACTTATCTTAATGTTCTTGATAATTAATTTTATGTGAAAGATTAATGGATAATAAATATCAAAGTACTTAGGAAGTGGTGTACTCGCTTTTGATTTCTCAGTTGCCAAATAGCTGAATTTGCTTTGGTGGACTCTTCGTCTCTTCCAGTGACTTCCTTTTATTTTCTATTACGAGTACTTTTGTCCTCATTATGAGGAATAATGAGGAATGCTTTAGTCTGATAATATGTGTGAATGAATAATGCATTAAGTGACTCATGCTGTATCGGTTGCTAGTGAATTGCATTTGGTCTAGTCTTTTGTGCCATCTAATATATTCTTGATTTCTAGACTACCAAAAAGAAGAAGATCACTACTGCATTTTCTTTTCCTGAAGAGTTGGACATGACACAAAGAATATCTGATCATTTGCAACCAGATTTAGTGTATGATTTGTCGGCCATATTGATCCACAAGGGCCCTGCAGTACATAGCGGCCACTACATAGCACTTCTTAAAAATGAGAAAACAGGGCAGTGGTGGGAATTTGATGATGAACAAGTTTCACACTTAGGTTCTGAACCATTTGGGAGAGGCTCCTCAAATTCTGCTGTAAAGCCTGCTCAATCTGAGTCCACTGTACACACATCCTCCTCTGAACAAATTAATGCTTCCTCAAATTGCAAAAATCTGAATAGTCAGCATAGATCATCAGAGAGTAATGTTGTCAGTAGTGGTAAGGTATTTTCTTCAAATGATGCATACATGCTGATGTATGCTCTTAGGACTACGCAGAATATTAATGAGGCAACCGATAATGATATTCCGGGAGAAAAAATGAAGGGAAGTTCTTTTGAATCTCCTTCGAGAACTGATAGTCCTCTTCCATCCCATCTTCATCAAGAGGTTGAACAAGCAAATGCTTCATATCTTTATTCATGCAATCGATATAAAGAAAAAAAAGAGAGTGAACTGAAGTGTATCTCTGAGCGGCGGCAGGAGGTGCGCTCCATTCTTTCTGAAGCCCCAGTTCAACCAAGCGAAAATCCATTTTTTTGGATTTCTACAGAATGGCTTCGCCAATGGGCTGATAGCATCACACCACCGTGAGTTTGAATTCTTCATTACATTTTGTATCTTACTCATCTAAAAGATAACAAACTAATGCATTTTATCAAGGTCACAAATCATGACTATATGTCTATATGTTTGTACACAGTAGAGTATTTCTTTGACATTGATGATATAGCATTTCATCTTGTTTACAAAATTTCAGGTTTAGGCTATGTTAGGCACACCAAGTTCAAATGTTAATAGCCAGTAGCTTAAAGCAAAAAGGTAATAATGCGGATTAATTGTTTAGTAAAACAAGATGTTGCATAATAAGCCCTTAATAAAATGACAAAAGTGAAAATCACTTTTGAGCGATGAATAGAACAAGTATTACAGAGTATATTTTTGTAAAAATAGTACGGTTGTTAGTCTATTTCAGCTTGTCGAATAGAAAAGTTAGCTAAAAGAAGAGCTGAAAATACAGTTTGAAGTTAAAATTCAAAAGTTATTAATAATTTAATATAAGTGAAGTAGGTGGTATTATTCATAAAAGTGTTAAGTTTTCTCAAAAACTAAAGAACGGGAACAGCCAAAAAACATATTGTGCATTTGTACTTCATCAAATTTGGAACATGGAAAGTGGCTATCTAATATTTTTCTTCTCCCCAATTTGGAAGTCATGTCCTTGTTTTCCTTAATGAAAGTTGCTTTTCAATTAAATAAATAAGAATCTCCTGGACGCAAGTTGCAACTCTGTTGACCACCCCCGCCGCTGATTGCAACATAAATCACCACTGACAATCACCACCACCTTTGGGAACAACTGACATTGGGACAATCACATACAATTGGTGAAAAATAGATTAGGAAAGAGATTTTGATTTATAAGGGGCTCTAAACATGTTTTCCAACTGAAACACAGAAACTGAAGAATGATACTACCTCTGTTCTTAAATAAGTGCAACATGTGAAATTTTACACTATTCACATGTTCTACTTTGACTACATTTTATTTATTGATGTATTAATATATTTTTTGAAAAATATATTATTAAATTTGTCTCATTGTAAATTTTCAAAAACTATTTATTTTTTTATTTTTTTTACTAATAGAAAATTATATATATTGATGGTCAAAGTTGTGTCTCGGCAAATGTGAAATGTTGATTGTTGCACTTATTTAAGAACGGAAGAAGTAATAAAGATCGAAAGCTCAAAAAGGATATTCTGAAAACTGAAATGAAAATACACTCAGCTTCTTAAATAGAACATTGTAAATACCTTTTGGAATAAATTCTAACCCGCTCTTTATTATTTTACCAAATACGGAGTACAATTTATAACTTACTAAACTTAGATATAGACTTATAGCTTAATGAGAAGTCCAGAATTATCAATGAAACATTATATGAGATACAATTTCAAACAAGCTATTATTTCAAGCCATCTATTTTGTGAAACATAGATTATTGTTTAATTGTTTAATATGAGATCTGAGCTCTGAAGCAAGTTCTACAAAGTAGAACCTTTGTCTCAAGAAGGTATAAACAAATAGAAAACATCCAGCATTTTAGTGTGATTCTAATGGCTAAGTAGGTTGCTGTGTTCTTCATTGTTAGTAGGTTAGAAACAATTTATTTATATTTTTAAAATGCCGTATTGCCGTTCTTGAATCTTGATATTTTGCAGAGAAATAGACAACAGCGTCATACAATGCAAGCATGGGAAAGTGCCAGCTTCAATGGTGAACTCAATGAAGAGGCTGTCAGAAGTAGCTTGGACCAAGCTATTGTCTAAGGTACAATATTGTGTTCGGGCAAATATTTTACGTATAAGTGTTTTATAATTCTTCTTTTCTAGTTTTCTATGAAAAGCATTCAAGAGGCTAGTATAATATTGTTCTGATGGTTGAATTCCAGTACGGTGGAGGTCCAACACTGGCAAAGGATGACCATTGTGCTGACTGCATCATTTTAATGGCTCAGACAATGGCTCGTGCAAATAACTATAGGGATCAAACAACATTCATGAAAGAAATTGCAGAGGAAGCCCTTTCCGGGAAGTGCCTCAATGAGAAACTGTTCTATATATCCAAGTCTTGGTATGTGACATTGATGTGTCTGTACATTTTAATGTACACAACATGGCTATTTCCTCCATTTTTTTTTGTATATTGCAAGTTTTTGCTGGTTTTCCTTATGCCGTACAACCTGCAAGTTTTCTGTTATTTTTGTGCTTTAAAGTTAAAACTATATTTGACAGATTATATTTTAATCATTGTTGTCTTCTATAGGCTGCACCAGTGGTTACGGAGAAAGAATGCTGACTGTCCATGTGAAGCTGATGCTGGGCCAACTGCATCTATTAGATGTCCCCACGGGGAACTTTTGCCTGAACCAGCTCCTGGTGCTCGTCGTGTACTGATTCCCGAGAACCTGTGGAACTTTATTCACGAGACTGCCATGGCTGTCAAACCTGATGATACCTTGGGTTCTTCAACTTTCCTTTCAGACTCGGTGGTCTGTACTCAATGCAGTGTTGAACTTTCAGAGCATGCATGCTTCGAAGATAACCTCAGGTCCTTTTGGCATTTCAGAATAGTCGAGTCTTTGAATGTGCTCCAGTTTCTGAATCTGTCTTCTATATTGCAGAGAGTTCAGAATGAAACAAAAACAAAGTCATGAGCGATTAGCATCTGCTAAAAGTATAACAATTGATCTGAGCAACAAGTACTATTTGTTGCCCTCTCATTGGCTGTCAAAATGGAGAAATTATGTTAGTGCAGGTGGGAAGAGTTGTTCTGCTGATCTTGAAACCTTAGGTCCAACCATGAATTCACTCATATGTGGAAAGGTGCCTTCTGATACTAATTATAATATTACCTCCGTTCCACTCAACTTTGCCAAGTTGATGTTAGGTGGAAAATTAGAATAGTAAAATTTGTGTGTTTGAGGTTTGTGCAGTGGAGACAGAAATGAACAGAGCCACAAAAACATTGCTTTAAAAGGAAAGTGTCAAAGTTTTTTGGGACAAACAAAAAAGGAAAGTTGGCAAAGTCTAGTGGGACGGAGGGAGTACTTCATAATATTCAATGCTATAAAGTACTGATGGCTCTTTCTGTACTAGAAGAAGCCTAAGTTACTTGAATCCACCCCACATTTTTTTTCACTCAAAATTTTAGTGCAACAAGGATGCAGGAGGCATGTTGAGGGAATGCATTTTTGTTTCCTTCTAACATACAGTTTTTGTAAACCAGCATTCAAGACTTCTTGAAAGGCCTCCTGAGCTCATTTGTAAGCGTGGTGTCATTCTTCAGAAATCACCTGCTGTGAGTATTCACTTATTCTTTTTTGTGCTTGTAAGTTTGTAACCATTCTGTATTGTTGTGCAAACAGATTAATAATTTAATGTGGACTTGTCTCCTATATGGCCACACATATGTAGAACTCTTATTATTATTAGTTAGTCTAATGTTACTATTAGAATTCATATTATCATTTCCTTATTCAGTTTTAGCCAGCTACTTATCAGCCCTTAGCTTTATGTTTCTACTAGATTAGATTAGAGTAGAGATCTTGAGATAGCTAAATATAAGGTTCTCGGTATTAAATATAAATAGACAACTTTTAGAGATTTAGTTTTTCTATTCTTCACCCTCTCCAGGCACAAATTACTTCCACCTGATGACCTGAAGTAAACTCTTTCTTAGACCTAAAAAAGGAAAAATTACGTTTAACCGTTTATGAAAAGAGCTAACTCACCAGATGCCATCTTCACCGACTCCGACAGTTTGAGATCTTATAACCCAATCTCACCGGAGAAGTCACGGCCTTTAAATCTGTTCGCTTCCAGTCGTGACAGTCGCTTTTTGCAGTTTTCGTGGCCGTGCTCTCTTTCCCCAGGTGTCTGACTGACTGACTGTGAAGCAAGCAATAGATTTCTACTCCACCATCTCTGGCAAGGTCTTAGGGTTGTTTCTCACTTGTTTTAAGCTGTGGTACTCATGGAGAGAGAGGACCATAAATGGAGTCGGCATTATGGTGACACATAATTATGTTGATGGTGTGGTTGAAGTCTTTAGGAAGAATGATCGCATCATGAGCATTAAGTTGATAATAGAAGATGAGATCGTGTCCGTGATAAGTGCCTATGCACCACAAGTGGGATTGGATGCATCTATCACTCAACAATTTTGGGAGGATCTTGAGGAAGTGGTGCGACGAGTGCCAAAGGGAGAGAAGCTGGTAATAAGAGGCGACGTCAACGGGCATGTAGGCCCAAGTCGGGATGCTTTTGAGAGTATCCATGGCGGACATGGCTTTGACACTAGAAATGAAACGGGGAAGAACATTTTGGATTTTGCCTTGACATATGAGTTGGTTGTGATGAACACTTGGTTCAAGAAAAGAGACTCTCACCTTGTCACCTATAGAAGTGGAGCTAATAGTACCTAAATTGACTACTTTTTAGTACGGATGACTTGGAGAACTAGCTACACTGATTGTAAGGTTATCCCAAATGAGAGTGTTGTCATTGAGCATAGGATGCTTGTGCTTGATTTTCAAGGTAAAAAGAGAAGACGAGTTAAGGTACAAGGGGAGCCAAAGATAAAATGGTGGAGGCTCGAAGGGAATCTCCAACAAAGTTTTGCACACAAAATGTTGGAGGAAGATGTATGGTCTTTTGATAATGACGCACATGTGGATGATGTGTGGTTATCAATGGAGTCCACCATTGACAAAGTGGCGAAGGAGAAATTGGGACTAAGGACCAAAAGGGAATGCTATAAGAAATTGGGCAAAAGTTGGAGCGACGAGAATATAGAGGAGTGCAAGGAGGCTCGTAGAAGAGCAACGAAAGCTGTGAAGGAAGCCAGAAGAAAAGTGAACAAGGAATTATATGTAAAGTTGGACTCTAAAGAAGGAGAAAAAGATATATATAGACTTGCTCGCCTTTTTTATCGTAAGACTCAGGATATCAGAAAAGTTAAGTGTTTGAAGGATGTCGATCAAAGGGTACTAATGGAGGACAAAGCAACTAAAGAGAGGTGGAGGTCATACTTTGATACCTTGTTCAATGGGAATAAAGTGCAAGGTATTGGTGATCTTACTATACCAGAGTGTATGGTAAATTGAGACTTCGTGAGAAAGATTCAAACAACAGAAGTTAAGGAGGCTATCAGAAAAATGGGGCGGAAGAAAGTAGTGGGCCCAGAGAAGTTTGGGAGAGAAAGACATCGAGTGGCTAACACGTTTCTTCAACATGATTTGGAGAAACACCAAAATGCCAGTGAGTTAGCGGAAGAGTACTCTCATTCCCTTATTTAAAAATAAAGGTGATGTACAAGAATGTGCTAACTATCGAGGGATTAAGCTTATGAGTCACACCATGAAACTTTGGGAGCGAGTGGTTGAGCAAAGACTTCGTAAAAGTGTGAAAATTTCGGAGAATCAATTTGGTTTTATTCCTGCACGCTTAACAACTGAGGCCATTCACCTTCTTAGACAAGTTATGGAGAAGTATAGAGACACTAAAAAGGATCTGCATTTGGTGTTCATTGACTTAGAAAAGACATATGATGGGGTACCTCGAGAAGTCCTGTGGTGGGCCTTAATTAGAAAAGGCATATCACGTAAGTATATTAGTATCAGATATGTATGATGCTTGTACTACAAGTGTCTGCACTAGTGTAGGGAGGACCGCAGAGTTCCCCATTACTATCGGAGTGCACCAAGGATCTGCTCTGAGTCCTTTCCTATTTGCCATAGTCATGGATGAACTTATGAAGTCAATCCCAAAATATATACCGTGGTGCATGATGTTTGCCGATGATATTGTATTGATTGATGAGACACAATCCGGTGTTAAAGCAAAATATGGCGACAAACATTGGAGACCAAGGGTTTCTGACTGAGCCGAAGCAAGACTGAGTATATGAAGTGCAAGTTTGGTGGAGGTAGAAGTAGTAGCAACAATGGGATTACTCTTGATGGTAAGGAGATACCGGTGTGTGATATGTTCCGTTACTTGGGTTCCTTAATTTAGAAGGATGGTGAATTAGATGGAAATGTATGCCATAGAATCAAAGCTGGGTGAATAAAATGGAAGAGTGCTTCATGATTTTTATGCGATCGAGGTATGCCGACTAGAATGAAGGGTAAATTTTATCGAACATCAATTAGGCTTGCTTTAATGTATAGCGTAGAGTGTTAGGCGGTGAAGTAATGCCACATTCAAAAGATGAGTGTGACAGAGATGCGTATGTTGCGTTGGATGTGTGGACATACAAGAAAAGAACGTTTGAGGAATGAGATAATTAGACAAAAGGTGGGAGTAGCACCTATAGAAGATATGATGCAGGAGCCTCGTTTGCGGTGGTTTGGGCATGTGCGTAGAATACCGAGTGATGCACCTGTTAGACGACTTGAGGGGTGGGGATAAGAGGCAGAGAAGAGATGGAGGGGAAGACCCAAACAGACTTAGATTAGAGGAATCATAACTGATATGCATCTTCTTGGGTTGGATGAAAGTATGGCTTTGGAGAGAAAAGTGGCGGACGCACATCCATGTGGATGATTGATGTCTTTTTTACCTTTCCTCTCTTTTTTCTTTTATCGTTTATCTTCTTTATCTTTGTATATTTTTATGTTATTTTTATATTCTAGCTTTTTATGCTCTTTTTTTCTTTTATCTTTCTTATATTCTTGTGTTATTGTTATCTTATATTTATTTATATTTATTTTATTCGTTTTATCTTTCTTTTTTTCTTCCCTTTCTTGTCCGTCTTCTCTGTTTGGCATCGATATCATTGATCGATTCAGGTTAGCCGACCCCCAATTCTTTTGGGATTAAGGCTTGGATGTTGTTGAATAAGTTATTTCACCCCCATATATGTAAGGTACTTAGTATAGAGCATTAAACTCTATCTTTTAGATCTAAAGAAAGAAATAAGAAAGAAAAAAGAAAAAGAATTGCCAAATCACCACCTTCAGTTTTTTGAGAGGAATGATGATGCCACCCTTATGGTAGTACTCCAAAAAGGCACTATTCAATTTATACACAGACACAACTTTTAGGGAATATGATGGAATAAAGAAAAATGACTCACTAAACTGTCTGCGCTTCTTTATTGTGAAGCAACAATCAATCCATGTATTTTTCGACGTGATTTTCACTATGGGTCATTCGGAAACAGTTTCTCTGTGCTTTAGTACATGTGTAAGATTGCGTACATCCGACCCCCCTACCTCACCGTAGGTGGGAGCCTTTGCGGCACTGGGGTAATGATGATGACAACTTTTGGGAAAAAACTTAAGAATTGATTGTCTGGATCTTCGAGACTACAAAGGCTCTTGTTCCCGGCTGTGTTCAGCACTTTAGCCCATATCCAACACCTAGTGTTGCAGTCGCTCTTGTACGCAAAGGTTTAACACATGTGAAATTATTTATCCCGTGCCGACTCAGCCACATGAAAGGAGAATGGTTTATGTTATAACTGAGATGAATAATGTGTTGGGAGACGACAAACACTTGTTCTGCAGGAGCACACGAAGTTGTGGAGACAGAATCCACCCTCATCTTCTCTACTGTCTAGTCTGTATTAGCCAGAAACCGGTCTCTTCACCAACAAACTTGACGCCCCAACCGGTTTCACCTGCACCCAGAACTCCATATTAAGGGTCCTGTTACTTTGTATAAACTTTATTATCATTATAAGTTACTACTAGTTTCGTATAACTTTTGATACTATTGTAAGTATTGATATTATATCCTAATTCGGCAACTTATTAGCCTTTAGATTTATGTTCCTAAAATGATTAGAGCTCTTGCTATATGTGGTTCCACTGTATTGATAAATAACCAACTTTTGCAGAATTAAATCTTGCTTGTCCTGACTAGGTCAGTCACTGATTAGTTCCACCTTGAGATTAGAGCTGAATTTCCTCCCCATCGATATCACTCTCAATATCTTCCATCCCCCTCAGCTGTATTGATAAATAAACAACTTTTGTTCTTGACACTCTCAATATAGAATATAGATCCAAAAAGCTTGAGATTAGATCTGAATCCCCTCTCTCTCGGTTCTAGGTTGCATGCCTTTCTTCGTTAGACGAGATCCTATTCGTGAGGTCTGAAGTTTTAACATAGTTTTGGTTGTAGGAATTTCTTACCCTCTATAGGCAATATTTGTTTATTCCATATTTCTTTTCTGGAGCACTAATGCGCAGTTTAGTGACTAGATTCTCAAGTTAGATTTGACTTTCTGTTATTAATTTTCTTGTCTATATCAGACAGATAGATTGACCATTATCACTGAGAATGACTGGAAACTATTTTGTCAAGACTGGGGTGGTCTAGATGAGAGAGGAATTGTAGCTGAAATTGCTTACTTGGAGGACGCTTCTATTATATTCTGTGATGATATACAGTTATCAGAAGATCCTATGAGTGTAGAGGGTGAACATAATATTAGGACTGAATCCAGAAAACCTACCATTAAGACTTCGCCGAAGGTAATACTTGGCTAGCTTCCCCTCTTTTTACTTGGTATTGTGCCAGATGGAGATTGCTGTCTCCAAAGTATTAGCATTTTTTTCAACCTATTAGAATATTATCACAGTAATTGTCGCAAGGCTTTACATACATTTACTTGCCTTTCTTAAGATTCATGCGAAACTGTAACTTGATGCTTTATGTGATGTTAAAGTAATGAATTTTCAGGTTTGTGAGGAGTGCATAGGTGAAAAAGCAAGCAGCGAGTTGATGAAAAAACTGAATTATTGCAATGAGGACATATCGGTCTGTTTCATTCAGGGCAAGGAACCTCCTAAATCAATTTTAGAAGCACCAGTGAACAATTTCGAGCCAAATCGGCGAACCTCAAAGCGGTCCAGGAAGGCGTCATTTGGTAACTCAGTTAAATTAAATGTTTCCGGAACCACATCAATCTACGAACTGAGGTTGATGATATGGGAAGCGTTTGGGGTAAGTTTTTGAATCAAAAGCAAAAAGTATTTTTTCCTTGACATATAAAAAAGTTTGTGAAAGTTCACAAAAAGAAATTTTCTTGGGGTTTGCTGTACTGTTTTCCTATGTTGGTATGTAATGGTACTTGAAACTCTGAATTTTGGGGAAAAGTATTTTGTTGAAGTCAGGAAGAGCTATAACTGTATAAATATTGATTATGTACTTCGTCAGAAATACTTGGTGCCAGACATGATATTTTATACTCCTTTATCTGGTGGTATTGGACTTGAGTAAAAGAGACATTTCTTTTCTTATATTGTACTACGTACATTAGTAACGTTTTCTGGGAAGGAAGAGGAAATTCAATTTTGAAGGATTGAACTGCAGCATTTACGTTAGAGTACTAGGGCAATAAGTTAATGAGATGCTGATGTATAGTTTCACAATGATATTGATTTATGGACACAGAGTTGCTAGCATCTTATTGGCACTTGTTGCTAATCCCTTGATGATATTGATCCATGTATTTGAAATGTTAATGTTTGACTGTTAATTTTCTGCAGGTTGTGAAAGAAAACCAGGTACTTCACAAGGGCACCAGTGTAATAGATGCAGAATCTGCATCCCTTGCTGATTTGGATATATTTCCTGGAGATGTTCTGTGGGTGACTGATTCAGAGATCCATGAGAACCGTGATATTGCTGGTAGGCAACAGCTTGGACATTATATTGAAATGTCAAAAAAAGCTTAAATATTCATTTATAATGTCTCAACTGTTATAAAATGTGGAAGTAATTTAAGTTCTAAATCAAAATTATACTGTCCTTTCCAGATGAGCTTTCTGATCACAAGATGGAGGAGACTGAGGAAGGTTTTCGCGGAACACTTCTGACATCAAGTGTATCTTCCCAGGTTTCAGAAGCATGTTCTTGATTCTGGATTGCAAAAAAGAAAGTGGAAGGTGTTTGACAGTGGCTAGCGTGCATGGATATAAAGTGTTCATGTTTTTTTGCTGGGTGTATTTATGGGTTTTTTGCGAACTTTAACCTCACTTATGCGCTTAGCAATGTTTTGGTCGCCCGATAAAATGCCGGTAGGTGTACAATGGAAAGGGCAGGGACTTTTGAGAGCTGGGAAGGACAAGTTTTTGTAAATCAACTCCTCTCTCCCTCAGTGTTTTGCTTGTCAATATTGTTGTAAATGATGTGCTTGTGGTTTGATGGTTCATATACAAGTGGTTATGCCCTATATCGGTGCATCTGTATGCTAGTTCCTCTGGTATAATCTTTTATTTTTGAAACGGATAAAACGTCACTTTGTATCAGAAATGTTCACGTACAGAAATTCGGTGGTTTTGACCCGTCTATTGTGGGCCCCCCACCTGTGGACTGTGGACTGTGGACTGTGGAGGGCATGGGACTATGGGAATCTGAGAGGTGGAGACCTCACTATCTTTTGTGAATGTGTAACAGTGTATGTATGGTTAATTGGTTATAGAGATTGTCAACCTTGGTCTATAGTTGGTCATGTGATTTATTCTTTATTTTGCTTTTATCCAAACAATTGGGCTCCTTTTTCAGACATGATATTTAACGTCAATTAAAAACCATTTTTAGTATCTGATTTTACTCAATTTTTATTTTCAAATTTTAGTACTATTGTCGTAGGGATGGATTCGGTAAGGGCCACCTGGCCTGGTACTGTGCGGGCTCGGGATCGGCCCGGTCGGGCGGTCCGGGACCGGGTATGGACCCGAACAGGTGGGAAGGGGCGGGGTGGGCTCGGTGCTGGATTATTGTGACCCGGCCGGGTCGGGCCCGGGCCCCGGTCCGGGTCTAATTTTTTTTTTTTTTTGGTTTGGGCTACTAGCCGTTGGGGGTGGGGCTGGGGACAACCCAAACGGCTATATAGCCGTTGGGTGGGGTAAAGGGGGGGTCCGGGGGGGGTGGTGGGGAGGGGTAAAAAAACCTATAAATACTCCTAATCTTAAACATTTTTTCATATCTCTTCTCTAATTCTTCCTAAATCCTATTCTTAACTTTCTACTCTCTAATTCTCTTATTCTCCAATATATTATATTTATTATTTATATATCTACTTTATAGTTAATACTTAAGAAGTTAAGATGGAAAATCAAGATGCCATTATACGGTATAATTTTGATAAGCAGAAGGACCCGAAGACCGAGATGTGGTATGCAATTTACAAATGGTTCGAGAAAAAATGTAGCATGGGGGTTTCTGGCGGATTCGGAATGACAATCAAGCATATGAAGTCATGTGACAAAGCCAAATGATCGGGAGGTGTGGGAAGTTCTGATTACAATTTTCAAAATGTTTATCTGTTAAAGTTTGTTTTAATTTTCAAATGTAGTTCCTATTTCATTTCAAATAAATGCAATTGAAGTTTATTTTTAATACTCGTATAAAACTATAAACTATAAAATATAAATTATATAAAAAAAATTTAACCGGCCCGAACCGGACCCGATCCGTGACCCGGGCGGGTGACCCGGCCCGGACCGGACCCGTCCAACCCTCGGGCCGGTCCCGGGCCCATGTCATACTACCCGGCGGCCCGACCGGGCCTAGGCCCGGCCCGGGCCCGACCCGGCCCGAGTCCATCAATATATTGTCGTGGTGGACTTTGTCAAATACAAAGAAGGTGAGACATAAAGAATAGTAAACACTGTGTGGTTGAGAAATGCGCAGAATCACAAATTACTTGCTTTAATAGGAAAGTGACAGTTTTTTGGGACAACCAAAAAAGAAAAGTAGGGATGGATTCGGTTCGGGCCACCCGGCCCGTGACCCGGCCCGGCCCGGTCGGGCGGTCCGGGACCGGGTCTGGGCCCGAACCGGGGGTAAGGGGCGGGGCGGGCTCGGTTCAGCATTTTGTGACCCGGCCCGGCCGGGTCGGGCCCGGGCCCAGGTCCGGTTCCATCCATTTTAAATTTTTTTTTTTTTTTTTGGGTTGGGCTCCTACTAGCCGTTGGGGGTGGGGCTGGGGACAACCCAAACGGCTATATAGCCGTTGGGTGGGTTATAGGGGGGGTCCGGGGGGGTTGGGTGGTGGGGGGGGGGGTGGTGGTGGGGGGGTGGTGGGGGTGGGGGGGGGGGTGGGGGGTAAAAAAACCTATAAATACTCCTAATCTTAAACATTTTTTCATCTCTTCTCCAATTCTTCCTAAATCCTATTCTTAACTCTCTACTCTCTAATTCTCTTATTCTCCATTCTCCAATATAGTTTATATTAATTATCTACTTATATAAATTATAAATAGATATAAATAGTATTATATTACTTATATTTGTTATCTAATTATATATTACTTATATATTTATTATATCTATTAATATAGTTGGAATTATATCTAATTAATTTGAAGTCATTCTATTACTCCCATCCGAAAGACCGAAAGTCCGAAAGAGGTACAGAATTATTCTATTATTTACACTTCTTTAATTACTAGTTAATTAGTATAGTTGGAATTACGATTTTTTATTAATATAGTTGGAATTACGATTTTTTATTAATATAGTTGGAATTACAATTTTTTTATTAAAAAATATGTTGTACACAAAACTAGTTAATTCACTACTTAATTTGCTATAACTCGAATTAATAGTTACATAAATAGTTAATTAGTTTCTTACAATTTTTTATTAATTGCTACATTTGACTCTAGTTTAAAAATAATGTTGTACACAAAACTAGTTAATTCACTACTTGATTTGCTATAACTCGAATTAATAGTTAGATAAATACTTAATTAGTTTTTTACAATTTTTTATTAATTGCTACATTTTTTAGATGGATCGTCCTAGATATTCGGTTGATATGGGTAACCTCGAGCGCAACCGAACGAACGAGCTTGCGAGGAAGAGATCCCGCAAAGGTAAATCACATCTCGGCTCTTCATCTCAAAGTCAAGATGATTTTGATACGGGTTACGTAAGGAGGGATGGGGATGCGATGACCGACGAACAACTAGAACAAGAATTGCACCGACATAATTCCCGCTTTTTTCAAGACCAACCGAGGACCATTGACGAAGAAGAGCTCGAGGACGAGGACGGCGATGTGGAGGAAGCAATTCCGGAGAGCCACAACGACGAGGACGAGGAGGGTGGCGGCAGCCATGACGCCGACCAAGCAGCCTCATCCCAAACAGGTACAAAAAAAAGTAAATCTGAATTAATGGCTAATAATTTTTCTAAGTGGAAGGACCCGAACACCGGGAATTGGACCGCAACTTGCAATTGGTGCAAGAAAAACTATAGCTTGGGGATTTCCGGCGGATACGGATCCGCCACAAGACACCTTAAGTCCAAACACCCGGTGGAGTATGCAAAATTAGGCGGCGGAACGGGGAAGCAAACGCAAATATCGAGGTTTGCAAATAATCAACAAGCTTTTGGTAATTTCTCATACAATGATGCACAAAATTTGACAGGTATGGCTAACTTACTTGTTGAAGAAAATTTGCCTTATTTGTTTTCTGAAAGTCTTGCTTTTCGTGATTATGCACAAACTTGTTTAAATCCGCAATATAGAGGTTATAGTCGCAAAACGGTTAAGAAAGAAATTTCAAGGCTTTATGGTGCGGAAAAGGTAAGGTTACAAAATTATTTTGCAGACTTTGATGGACGTGTTACTGTATGTTCTGACATATGGGAGGATACTTATCATAATTTACATTATTTGGGTCTGACTGTACATTATATTGATAATGATTGGCATATGCATAAACGTGTTCTTGCTTTCCGTGAATTTAATGATCGTCACACCGCTGAACATATTTATATTTTGATTGAACGTATTTTAATTGAGTATAATTTAATTGATAAGGTGTTTGCTATTGATTTTGATAATGCTACTAATAATACTGCTGCTATTCCTAGATTGCGTGAATTGTGTGGTTCTACTTCTTTGATGGGTAGATTTTTTCATCAACGATGTGCATGTCATGTTCTAAATTTATGTGTGCAAGATGGTCTAAAAGCGTTGGGAGCATCGTTGGAGGTAGTCAAGGGGGGGATTAGACGTATTTGGGGTAATGGACACCTTAGGAAAAAATGACATGATTATTTGATAGAAAGAGGTGAGAGATATGTGGCTTTTCCAAAAGATTTGTCTATTCGTTGGAATAGTACCTATAAGTTAATTGGAGTTCTTCTTAGATATAAACAACATTTTCCTGCTTTTATGAAACAATATGATAACTATATTATAAACTCGGCTGAGATCGACACCTGTGAAAAAATTTGTAATGCTTTGATATATTTTAATAATGCAACTGAAACTTTTAGTCATGTTTATAAACCTACCTCAAACCAATTTATTCGTGAAGCTGTTAATCTCGCCGGTGCTTTTTCAAATTTTGAGAATGCTGATTATGTGAATTATTTTGCTGGTTTTATGAAGGAAAAGTTTTTAAAATATTATTCACATATTCCGCATATTTATGGTATTGCATTTGTTCTCGATCCTCGTTTTAGACTTGGTTCTTTAGAAGAATGTTTGAATTATTATTATGCTGCTTTTTTTGGTCCATTGCCAATGTATGAGGACAACCCAATTGATCCGAAAATAGAATACAACGAGGTTAGTGATATATTTTATGCATTATTCAATGAGTTTCATGCACAATATGGCAATGCGCCCCCTCCCCCGACACAAACATCATCTAAAGGAAAATCAATTTTCAAATCTACGTTTGCCAATCTTATTAAAAAAACAAAATCAACTCCCGCTACACAACAAAGCACAATTAATGAGATTTCTTTGTATTTAACTTATGATGTTGATTTTGAAGAAGATGATGATTTTGACGTACTAAACTGGTGGAAGGGAAAAGAAAGAATGTTCCCGGTTTTAGCAAAGATGGCTAAGCAAGTGCTATCAATGCCGGTTTCAACGGTTGCCGTGGAACAAGAATTTAGTTCGGCCGGCAATGTTCTAACACAAACCAGAACGAGGTTGAGCGCTGAATCTCTTGAGATGCTTATATGCTACCACGATTGGTTGAAAGCAGCACGTAGAGCTCAAGAAATTGACATCACTCCATCCCAACACTTTATGGATGAATCTACAGAAGGTGGCTCTACTTATGCCGGAGATTCCGATTAAAAACAATTATAGTTCCTATTTAATTTTCAAATGTAGTTCCTATTTCATTTCAAATAAATGCACTTGAAGTTTGTTTTTAATACTTGTATAAAACTATAAAGTATAAAATAAAAATAAAAAAAAAATTACCCGACCCGACCCGACCCGGCCCGGCGGGTGGCCCGACCCGTGACCCGGGCGGGTGGCCCGGCCCGAACCCGTCCAACCCTCGGGCCGGTCCCGGACCCACTATTCTAGAACCGGCGGCCCGACCGGGCCTAGGCCCGGCCCGGGCCCGACCCGACCCGAATCCACCCCTAAAGAAAAGTTGTCAAAGTCCAATGGGACGGAAGGAGTATGATTTTTCAAATTAAGTAGAAGCTGTATAATTTTTAAATATTTTTATTTATTAACACACATAAATGTTGTGTGGAGAAAGTTCTAATATGGTTTTAGGGATGGATTCGGGCCGGGTCGGGCCCTGGCTGGGCCTAGGCCCGGTCGGGCCGCCGGTTCGTATCACATGGGCCCGGGACCGGCCCGAGGGTTGGACGGGTCCGGTTCGGGCCGGGCCACGGGTCGGGCCACCCGCCGGGCCGGGTCGGGCCACCCGCCGGGCCGGGTCGGGCCACCTGCCGGGCCGGGCCGGGCCGGTTATTTTTTTTTAATTTATATTTTATACTTTATAGTTTTATACAAGTATTAAAAACAAACTTCAAGTGCATTTATTTGAAATGAAATAGGAACTACATTTGAAAATTAAATAGGAACTATAATTGTTTTTAATCGGAATCTCCGGCATAGGTAGAGCCACCATCTGTTGTAGATTCATCCATAAAGTGTTGGGATGGAGTGATGTCAATTTCTTGAGCTCTACGTGCTGCTTTCAACCAATCGTGGTAGCATATAAGCATCTCAAGAGATTCAACGCTCAACCTCGTTCTGGTTTGTGTTAGAACATTGCCGGCCGAACTAAATTCTTGTTCCACGGCAACCGTTGAAACCGGCATTGATAACACTTGCTTAACCATCTTTGCTAAAACCGGGAACATTCTTTCTTTTCACTTCCACCAGTTTAGTACGTCAAAATCATCATCTTCTTCAAAATCAACATCATAAGTTAAATACAAAGAAATCTCATTAATTGTGCTTTGTTATGTAGCGGGAGTTGATTTTGTTTTTTTTAATAAGATTGGCAAACGTAGATTTGAAAATTGATTTTCCTTTAGATGATGTTTGTGTCGGGGGAGGGGGCGCATTGCCATATTGTGCATGAAACTCATTGAATAATGCATAAAATATATCACTAACCTCGTTGTATTCTTTTTTCGGATCAATTGGGTTGTCCTCATACATTGGCAATGGACAAAAAAAAGCAGCATAATAATAATTCAAACATTCTTCTAAAGAACCAAGTCTAAAACGAGGATCGAGAACAAATGCAATACCATAAATATGCGGAATATGTGAATAATATTTTAAAAACTTTTCCTTCATAAAACCAGCAAAATAACTCACATAATCAGCATTCTCAAAATTTGAAAAAGCACCGGCGAGATTAACAGCTTCACGAATAAATAGGTTTGAGGTAGGTTTATAAACATGACTAAAAGTTTCAGTTGCATTATTAAAATATATCAAAGCATTACAAATTTTTTCACAGGTGTCGATCTCAGCCGAGTTTATAATATAGTTATCATATTTTTTCGAGCAAATTTGTCTATTTTGTATACATAAATGAACTTTCTTTACAAATAAAACTGAATGAATAGATGCTGAAGAAGTTCATACATCACTTAACAAAGGTACGAAAAGTGGAGTAACTAACAATTCATGAGGTTTCTTAGCTTAGCCTTTTCCACCACAAGATTTACAACCGCCTTGATAAGCTTTTATATATTGCAGAGCCATGCATCCCAGTCCTGGGTTGATGTATAGGGAAGTTTATTTCGGCGCAGTCCTACTCTTGTTGAGTGCTATACCAGCTCATTAGTAGGGTTACGTTATTTGTCACTCTAGTAATTGCATTCCCATTTTGAACATTAGCAGAAGCCCAGGTGAAGAAAATAATATAGAGAAGAAAGCATTGGACCGACGCCATGTCGGAACTTCTTAGAGAGCCACTGACCAGGATGTAAACTGTCAAGCAGCATCTATCTTTAATCATAGCATATATTTATTGTGATACTAGTATGTACATGTAGTATTATTTTTGTTGCTTTTTGTTGTACCACATGTATTACATTTTGTTGCATCGTGTTGCATTTTGTTGCATCTCGTTACTTTTTGTTGAATCATGTTTCTTATTAAGGAGTACTTCACATTATTTATCATTGATTCAAATTTATTACATTTATGATAGATAAATGTAATAAATTAAAATAATAGACCGAATTATGTATTTGTTGTGATACTGTTATATTTAGTAATATTTTTGTTTCATTTTGTTGTATCATACTTGTTGCTTTTTGTTGCATCGTGTTGTTAATTGTTGCATCATGTTGCATGTTGTTTATTATTGATTTTGTTTCATTTTGTTGCATTTTGTTGTGTTTAGTACTTATTGTTGTTTGTTGTTGATTTTTGTTGTGTATTTAGATTTTATATTTTTTTTGGATTAAAAGCTAACAAGTGTATATATTGTCTCGAAACTCTTGTATGTTCAATGAAAGATTGAAAGGTTTCACTTAGTTTTGGGTAAAATTTTCTATGTCTGAACTGGAACGAAGAAGATCATTTGATTCTTATGAGTCTAGTCAAGTGGTGAAGTACAGTGACCTTAAAGGTCTATAGGAAATCTGTGTTGTCTGTTTGATGGTCAGCGATACATGTTGTTTTTTCGGAGGTGACCATCTCAGAGTCTGATCATATAATATCTCTTGAGTCTAGCAGTTTGTTGAAGGAATAAGTGATAGTTTTGGAGCTATTGATTGATTGTAACTCTTGATTAATTTCATATTTTAATACAAGTCTAGTTTTCCTTTCAAACAAAAAAGCATATTACAATGCAAATGAATTTAAAATTTATTATACACACATATATATAATGTATGCGTATGTATATTTGAAATACAATTTAAAAAATTATGTATATTTATATATTGGGCAGTCTTTACATGCCGACTTTTGTGAATGTTTAATCAAATTATACTTGATAAAATTTAAACAAATCAGAATTAAACAGCTGCCTAAAATGAAATAAAACTATAAGAGTTGGGACTTGTGCGTAATAAATGAAAGAAGGGGGGTGGTTTCAAAATATCCAGTTCCCCAGTGTGTGAAGGAAACGGACTCGTACTCACTTCTCCCTCCCTCTCCTGTCGACGGGATAACTCCTACTGCCACTCCACTTTCTCTCTCTTAAGCCAAAAGCCGACAAGGACTGAAAATCCCCCTTTCCCTCATTCTTCTTCTTCTTCTTCTTCTTCTTCTTCTTCTTCCTCAATGCATCATTTCTCTGTCTAGGGTTACAGTTCCCCGTCTTCAGCGTTCTCTCTGGTAATAATCATATCCTTATAGCTATTCATTCATAATCGTACATACATGCGCTTACACACAAGTCATACGTGTTTTGATGGTATAATCCTCTCTATGCATAGACGTTATACCCTTTAAACCCTTGCTCGGCAAGTGCACTCCCTCTCCCCACCTTTCAACTCCATATACTCTTCCGTGGTTCTGCTTATCATTATTTGGATTGCTTAATTTGTTAGTTCTGTGAATTTTATATTTCTCCGCCTCTTCTTCTCTTGTTAAATCCAACTGCTTGCTTTATCAATAGGGAAGTTACAGATAGCCCCCCCTCCTGGATTTTTGTGTTTAGATTGCTCCCAACTATGAATAGTAATAAGCACTCGGAACCAGCTAAGATGGAGCAGATCATAACAGAGTTTTTCCCTAAAAGCCTTCATATAATACTTGAATCTAGGTGTTCTTACGCCTCATCCCGAGATTACAGTGGTGAACAGTGTGCTTCATCACCTTCCTCTTCATCATCATCTTCATCTAGTGTTAGGCCTAGAGACAGATGGTTTAATTTAGCACTGAAAGATTGTTCGGCTGCACTTGAGAACATTGATTTTTGGAGGCAGAGTAACCTCGATCCTATGTTCATAGATGTGGTGCTATTAGAAAGGCCTAATGATAGGGATTTGCCCAAAGAAAGGGATTGGAATTCCGAGCATGATGAGTTTTCCAGGAAGAAGAAAGAGAAGATTGTTGAGAGATGGATAATACAGTATGAAGGTAGGAAGAGTAAGAAGAGGTCTAGTAGTTGTACTAGTTCGCAGGTTTTGTATAAGAAGACAACCCTATTGCTAAGGTCTTTGTATGTCACTGCCCGGATTTTACCAGGTTATAAGTTATTCCGAGACCTCACTTCGTCTGCCCAAATCCGAACGTATAACCTTTGCCCACGAGTTTCATCATTTGCTGAACCATTCACACGTGCAGAGGAGGCTGAGATGCACCAGTTTGTGTTCACTCCTGTAGACACATCTTGTGGAAGGCTTTGTCTCTCGGTTTGGTATCGGTCTTCGGTCTCTGATCTTTGTTCTGAACCATCAACACCTATGTCTCCTCAGTTCATACCGGATTATGTTGGGAGTCCAATGGCAGAAGAGCCACTTAAGCGGTTCCTGCCTGGTGGTCAGGTCCCCCAATCATCATACCCTCTTGAAAGGCGTCATAGCTGGAGTTATGATTTGTATAGAGCATCACCACCACCTTCACCCACTTATTCAGAATCACAGGCTTTGATTCATCAAATGCAGGCCGGTCATCTCCTACCCCCCACCAATACCAATAGTAGACCTCAAGTTCACGCAGGCTTTGATGAATATTGGCCATCACCTACGTTTTCAACATCACCATCGCTCTCACCACCACCTACGTATGGTCCTGGTGGTGGTATAGGGAAGGCTCTTTTGCGCTTTGGTAGTGCTCCTGTGAATATACCTGACTCTAGGCTTTTGGGTGTTCCTTTTCGGCTCTACAATAAAATGTTGCCCCCTTCTCCCCCACTGAAAGGCATTAGACCTGCCACTTCTGCAAAAACGGACAAGAGTAGCAGCTCTTTGGCTGACGATAAGGTATCTTTAAAAAGCTAATTTATTTTCAACTCATGTAAAATGGGGACTAAGGGCATATATTACTAAGTGTTCCGATTTTTGTTTTCTAGTTTTTCTCATCTGCAAAAGATGATGGTGACAAATTGACTGTAGTGAAGATAATAATGCACACAAACATCTCGCCGCAGAAATCCTTCTCCAGAAGCTCTAGCCGTTTGTCATATCAGGATGACTATGACGATTCCGAGTTTAGTGGTCCGTTTGTTGTGGATGGTGATGATGATATGACCGACCATGGCAACAGGTAAAGTTGTAATCCAGCTCGATCCAGGAAATTGATGGTTGTATCATCTGCATAAGTAATTGCATACATGTCTTCTGGTTTAATGTGTCTGTTTTATTGTTGTTCCACTTTGCTGTTTGTCTTTTCACTCGGAAGTAGCTTTTTTCCTGTTATCTGTTTTTATTTTGCTCTTCTCTTGTATATCCATACCCCCTATATAAGGTTTAATGTATTTAATTTGTAATATACTAATATCACAATAATACAATTAGCATGTATTTCATGGAAGCATCGTCTCTGCCTGACTTTGGCGGCCAAGTGGGGTGCCTGGCTAATATTGGCCATCTGATAAAAAAATCAACTGCTGCAGTTTAGGGTCTACTTTTTTCACGTATCTCGAGACCTCTCCCTTCCCATCCGACCATCTATTCCGCCCCAGCACTCTGCCATGCGGCAGAGGATCCTTATCCGTCTTTCACCTGATATGTAATCTTCAGAAGGTTCAAAATGATACGTAGTATAAACGTAATTAATAGTTTGGACTTTGGACTTGCTGAATAACTTCAGAATCTCTAGAATTATTGATTGCAAGCATAGGCTGAAGTTTTCAAGAGTAAGGTTGCTCATTTTAACGCTTGGTGTAGTCTAGTAACACTTTAAGTCTATAATGGTCATTTTCACTGGATAATAGCTCATTGTGAATCAGAAAATAGAGCTTTTAGGGAATTTATTTTGGAATAGACTATTTACTTCATGTTAAAAGAAAGTGCTATTTTAGGGCCTGTTTGGTTAGGAGATTTTGGAGGTAAGGGAAATGGAGTGGTGGTATGTATATATTTCATTTAATCTTACATTTAGATGGTTGGGAAACAAGTGAAAATAAGAATTTAAACACCTTCCGTTTATTTTTTTTACATGTTCTACTATGCTTTTCACCAAGTTTTAGAACAAAATTCTTGTGGTAGTGAATTGTGTAGAAAAGGTAAAAAGGATGAGAGAGTATATCAAGAAGTTGGGGAAGTAGGAAATGTGGAACTGAAAAGGGAAGGTCATTTATGTTATTTGATGCATTATGCATTTGTTATTCTCATCAAGTAATAAAAAACTTCCATAAACATATGAGTAGCTATTTGTAGTCTAACTGTCTAAGACTAATAAACAGAGATAAGTTAGTAAAATAAAAACATTCTTCCTTCCAAAATCACCAAACAAGCTATTCATGTCTTTTCATCTCTCTATATGTAGGCACTCATTCACCTGTATTACACTGTATGGGTGTGCAACTATAGAGATGGCAGTTATATGGCTCTGTTTATTGTTTACATATCAATCCAATCAAACCACCAATATTTTTGACGTGCTTAGTCCGCCCATTTTGTAATACGCTTCAATTTGGGATTGTTGAATGTTGTCTACTTTTAGTGCTAGTGAAATTTTAGGAGCCATAATATGAATTGTCTTCTCAAGGGTAAAAGTTACTCCAATGCATGTAAATTGAGTTTCTGCTTCTTGTCTCATGACTATTGTGCAATTCCCACTTTTGGTTTGTACAATTCCCGGTTGGTTGTCACCAGAAAGGACCAAAAGTTGCAAGAAATCTATGTTCACGCACCAAGAGTGGAAAAAATGAAAGTGAGGGACCAAAAGTGGGAATGACATTGTAGTCATGGGGCAAAAGTGGAAGATTTTCTTAGGTGAAGTTCTTGCTTTACGTTGAATGTGCATGTACTTATCCACTATGACCTTTATGCTTCCTCTTTCCCCAGAATTGGTTCATTAGAGCAAACAAACCAACATGAACCTGGAGGAGTTTGTGTAGCAAGGAAGCCCCAAGCATCTGTGGGCACACTCATCTCCATGCTAAAGAAGGCCCCTCCCCTACGCCAAGACTCCTCTTCTGTTACCTTAAGCCCTCCCCCTACTACTACTAATTTTGATTCTCCTGTGAACATGATCACAGCAAAAACCACTACAGATGCATTAGAGGAGCTTCGTGTGTATAGAGAGATGAGGGACTTGCTTCTTAAGCAAGGTGGGAAGTCTCAAATGTAGCCCTCCTATTGCTCTGTTTTTTGCCACAAATAATTCTCAAAGTCTTCGACCTATTATTATTATACTACGTAGTATTTTGCCACTAGTTTGATGTACATACTGTGGCAGATATTTATGATGATGATGTCATAAAAGACTCCTAGATATAGAACATTGAAGGTAAGCTGAATTCTTTATGAGAATCTATATGGAGGTGCGAGATGGGTGAAGATGGCTTGACAGTGTATATATTGTAATTAATGGTTTGACATTTTGTGTATATATATATATAATCAAAAGCTTTATTGCTGATATAAGATAGACATGCTTCATTAGGAGCATTTTTGTACACCCTTTGTCTCACAAAAGTTGCACAAAAGTTGACCAAAATACATGGAATAATAAAGTATAAAGTGTGTGATTGAGATTTATGTAGATGAGAGAAGATACCTTTAGTCACATTAAGATGGATTTTGCAGTTCGGAAAAAAGGAATGACATAACCTATCTTTTCCGATGTATAAAAAAAGGAATGACCTAATCTATAAATTGGGTTGAAGGTAAGTTAGTGTTCTAGTCCCGTTCAAAAAATTTAATATATCATCTCTGTAGTCTGTTCCATTGGTCTTGGTAAATTTTCCTATTTTAATTATCTCAAAAACTTTATCATTTTTCTTTGTAACGAGTTTGTGATTGAATTTATTTCATTCCCTCTACATAAATTTGAAACATACAATTTTTATATCACATCTGACACAAAATTGATAATGTCCAATAAGATAGAGGTAATAGAGTTTATGGACAATAGTGTGTCTTAACTAGGGGTGGATTCGGTTCGGGTCGCCCGGCCCGGTCTGGCGGTCCGGGACCGGGTGTAGACCCGAACCGGTGGGGATGGGCGGGGCGGGCTCGGTTCTGGAAAAAGTTGACCCGGCCCGGCCGGGTCGGGCCCGGGTCCGGGTCCAACGGTCAATTTTTAATTTTTTTTTGTTTTGGCCAAAATAGCCGTTGGGGGGTGGGCTGGGGACAACCCAAACGGCTATATAGCCGTTGGGTGGGGTGCAGGGGGGGGGGGGGGGGGTCCGGGGGGTTTGGGGGGTGGGGGTGGGGTGGGGGGTCAAAAAACCTATATAAATATTCCTAATCTTAAACATTTTTTCATATCTCTTCTCCAATTCTACCTAAATCCTATTCTTAACTCTCTACTCTCTAATTCTCTTATTCTCCAATATATTATATTTATTATTTATATATCTACTTTATATTAATTATCTACTTATAATTTATAAATAATACATTATAATATTATATTACTTATATTTGTTATCTAATTATATATTACTTATACATTTATTATATCTATTAATATAGTTGGAATTATATCTAATTAATTTGAAGTCATTCTATTACTCCCATCCGAAAGACCGAAAGTCCAAAAGAGATACAAAATTATTCTATTGTTTACACTTGTTTAATTTTGTATTAACGTTACTTGAAAAAAAACTAGTTAATTCTCATAATAGTTAAAGTTAAACTATAATAATTTGATTGTTAGTAAAAAAAAAGGTTGTACAAAAAACTAGTTGTAATTCTCATTATAGTTAAAGTTAAAGTGTATTAATTTCATTGTTAGTAAAAAAATAGGCTGTACACAAAACTAGTTAATTCACTAGTTAATTTGATTAAAGTAAACTTTAAAATACTAATTTGCTATAACTCGAATTAATAGTTAGATTAATAGTTAATTACTTTATTACAATTTTTTATTAATTGCTACATTTGACTCTAGTTTAAAAAACTAGTTAATTCTCATTATAGTTAAAGTTAAAGTGTATTAATTTCATTGTTAGTAAAAAAAATAGGTTGTACACAAAACTAGTTAATTCACTAGTTAATTTGATTAAAGTAAACTTTATAAAATACTAATTTGCTATAACTCGAATTAATAGTTAGATTAATAGTTAATTACTTTATTACAATTTTTTATTAATTGCTACATTTGACTCTAGTTTTAAAAACTAGTTAATTCTCATTATAGTTAAAGTTAAAGTGTATTAATTTCATTGTTAGTAAAAAAAATAGGTTGTACACAAAACTAGTTAATTCACTAGTTAATTTGATTAAAGTAAACTTTAAAATACTAATTTGCTATAACTCGAATTAATAGTTAGAATAATAGTTAATTACTTTATTACAATTTTTTATTAATCGCTACATTTTTTAGATGGATCGTCCTAGATATTCGGTTGATATGGGTAACCTCGAGCGCAACCGAACGAAAGAGCTTGCGAGGAAGAGATCACGCAAAGGTAAATCACATATCGGTTCTTCATCTCAAAGTCGACATGAATTTGATACAGGTTACGCAAGGAGGGATGAGGATGCGATGACCGACGAACAACTAGAACAAGAATTGCACCGACATAATTCCCGCTTTTTTCAAGACCAACCGAGGACCATTGACGAAGAAGAGCTCGAGGACGAGGACGACGATGTGGAGGAAGTAATTCCGGAGAGCCACGATGACGAGGAGAAGGAGGGTGGCGGCAGCCATGACGCCGACCAGCCTGCCTCATCCCAAACAGGTACGAAAAAAAGTAAATCTAAACTAATGGCTAATAATTTTTCTAAGTGGAAGGACCCGAACACCTGGAATTGGACCGCAACTTGCAATTGGTGCAAGAAAAACTATAGCTTGGGGATTTCCGGCGGATACAGATCCGCCACAAGACACCTTAAGTCCAAACACCCGGTGGAGTATGCAAAATTAGGCGGCGGAACGGGGAAGCAAACTCAAATATCGAGGTTTGCAAATAACCAACAAGCTTTTGGTAATTTCTCATACAATGATGCACAAAATTTGACTGGTATGACTAACTTACTTGTTGAAGAAAATTTGCCTTATTTGTTTTCTGAAAGTCTTGTTTTTCGTGATTATGCACAAACTTGTTTAAATCCGCAATATAGAGGTTATAGTCGCAAAACGGTTAAGAAAGAAATTTCAAGGCTTTATGGTGCGAAAAAGGTAAGGTTACAATTTTTTTTGCAAACTTTGATGGATGTGTTACTGTATGTTCTGACATATGGGGAGATACTTATCCTAATTTACATTATTTGGGTTTGACTATACATTATATTGATAATGATTGGCATATGCATAAACGTGTTCTTGCTTTCCGTGAATTTAATGATCGTCACACCGCTGAACATATTTATATTTTGATTGAGCGTATTTTAATTGAGTATAATTTAATTGATAAGGTGTTTGCTATTGGTTTTGATAATGCTACTAATAATACTGCTGCTATTCCTAGATTGCATGAATTGTGTGGTTCTACTTCTTTGATGGGTAGATTTTTTCATCAATGATGTGCATGTCATGTTCCAAAATTATGTGTGCAAAATGGTCTAAAAGCGTTGGGAGCAATTTAATTGGAGTTCTTCTTAGATATAAACAACATTTTCCTGCTTTTATGAAACAATATGATAACTATATTATAAACTCGGCTGAGATCGACACTTGTGAAAAAATTTGTAATGCTTTGATATATTTTAATAATGCAACTGAAACTTTTAGTCATGTTTATAAACCTACCTCAAACCAATTTATTCGTGAAGCTGTTAATCTCGCCGGTGCTTTTTCAAATTTTGAGAATGCTGATTATGTGAATTATTTTGCTAGTTTTATGAAGGAAAAGTTTTTAAAATATTATTCACATATTTCGCATATTTATGGTATTGCATTTGTTCTCGATCCTCGTTTTAGACTTGATTCTTTAGAAGAATGTTTGAATTATTATTATGCTACTTTTTTTGGTCCATTGCCAATGTATGAGGACAACCCAATTGATCCGAAAAAAGAATACAACGAGGTTAATGATATATTTTATGCATTATTCAATGAGTTTCATGCACAATATGGCAATGCGCCCCCTCCCCCGACACAAACATCATCTAAAGGAAAATCAATTTTCAAATCTACATTTGCCAATCTTATTAAAAAAACGAAATCAAGTCCGGCTACGCAACAAAGCACAATTAATGAGATTTCTTTGTATTTAACATATGATGTTGATTTTGAAGAAGATGATGATTTTGACATACTAAACTGGTGGAAGGGAAAAGAAAGAATGTTCCCGGTTTTAGCAAAGATGACTAAGCAAGTGCTATCAATGCCGGTTTCAACGGTTGTCGTGGAACAAGAATTTAGTTCGGCCGGCAATGTCCTAACGCAAACTAGAACGAGGTTGAGCGCATAATCTCTTGAGATGCTTATATGCTACCACGATTGGTTGAAAGCAGCTTGTAGAGCTCAAGAAATTGACATCACCCCATCCCAACACTTTATGGATGAATCTACAACCGAGGGTGGCTCTACCTATGCCGGAGATTACGATTGAATGATTGATTAGTATTTCATGTTTTAATTTTACCTTCAATTCTCAATTGTAGTTCCTATTTAATTTTCAAATGTAGTTCCTATTTCATTTCAAATAAATGCACTTGAAGTTTGTTTTTAATACTTGTATAAAACTAAAAAGTATAAAATATAAATTATAAAAAAAATACTTTAACCGGCCCGGCCCGGCCCGACGGGTGGCCCGACCCGTGACCCGGGCAGGTGGCCCGGCCCGAACCGGACCCGTCCAACCCTCGGGCCGGTCCCAGGCCCATGTGATACAAACCGGCGGCCCGAGCGGGCCTAGGCCCAGCCCGAGCCCGATCCGGTCCGAGTCCTTGACTAGTCTTAACCCATCGGATTTGAAAGGTATCACGATTTTTGATTGCTAGTAGTGGGGCACGTGTTCTTTTGAAGATTTTAAGTGTCATCAGAGGCTATTTAGCCTATAACCAGGCAGGGCCTAAGCCCCATTGAAAAATAACACGAAGTAATTTAATACGGGGAATTTTGTATACAATCTCTTAATTATTATTGGCCTCCAATTTAATTTAAATAAATAATAAATTATTTGAAATTATAATTTTAGCCTTACATCAATTATGTTGAAATGGACGAAGATATATTTCTGGCGGAGATTTGATTTTTCATTTTTGTTATTATCTCGAGACTTGAATCGCCGCAAGATGTTAAGAACATTGGCATGGGGCCTCGAGGAATAGTCACAAGAACAATAGAGAAGATCACCGAGACAACTGGATCTTAGCCTATTGGCATGGGGCCTGCAAATTCAAGGATTTTCTGTTACCATTGATGACATAGTTTTGTTCGAATCTGGGGATGTTTGTCATATCGATTGATAATTCTCGGGGATTGTTCAAAGTGAGAACTAATCTCCTACGAAGCTGCCCTGTTCACACATAAAGTTATAGCTGTTGTTCAATTACTAGGAAATTTTGTCCAACTTCGAATCCATCTGAAAAGTCGGAGCTTTTACACCATCATTGGCAGTTTTGAGGTGCATCACGCTCATGGAATATCTGTTTCTGCCTCGATAAATCCTAGGTTAAATCACATTTATAGATTGCACACTTTAACTCTCTCCGAATATAAGGTTATGCACACCATAGCCTTGCTGAATTTGAAAAACTCAGCACGTGGGCATGAGAATCGCCATTTAAGAGATTCTTCAATGCCGTTCGTTTAGATGTAACATGCCGTTGCCACTCCATTTGTGTGGTGGTGTCGAGCTTGTTGCGATTGATGATTCCTTTGTACTATGAACCATTGCTCTCTCTTCAGGCCTAGCATGGCTTCACTGATTTCTATGGATGAGGGCCAAGGGGGTGAGGTTCATTGTGTTGCTTCACTGATTTAAGTGTGGGTCGAGATCCCGAAGAAGGCGATGTCAGGATAGTGTTGGGATTAGAAAATTCTTCTATTCAATATCAAGAACATGATTACAATAGGAGGAGCAAACTCTCACACTCAACTATTATAAAACACCAATCCTCACCAATACACTTCTACACTAAGTGTATTTCAATCTTCACACACTTTTCTCACTTTCTAAAGTGATGATATGAACAACAATAGAACACTCTATTTATAGGCTAGTTTGGAGACAAGAGGAAGTTGCATCAAAGCTTCCATAGTTATCTCCATATATTCTCCCATGTTTATTTGTTTGAGAGCTCCTTCCAAGAAGGTGTGAGATGCCTCTTGACAACTCCAAGAAAGAAGGTGGAAGATCTCTACAACCCCCCCCTCCACCTTTTCTTTATTTCTTTCGTTCCTGTGATGCTCGCTGGCTTCCCCTCGCTGGCAACAAGTATCCATTCAGATGTGGAGTATTTTTTATGTGGAACTATGCCTCGCATAGAACGTCGAACATGAGTACCTTCAACTTCGTCTTCAGATGAAGGCTCCCCCTGGTGAGGAATATCATCACTGTGATCATCATCGATCATTACCTACTGAACCATCACTCTCTTGTTCAATAGTATCATGCATCTCCTCGTTGCTGAGAGGAATGTTTGATGATACAGGGACTTCGTCTTCTGAAGTATGTTGTTTGTGGATTATTGGAGCACACTGATGAAACTCGTTTTCATGAAATATCACATCTCTGCTTCGTATAACTTTCTTCACTTTGGGATCCCACAACCAGTATCCAAATTCTTCATCTCCATAGTCGATGAAGATGCATGGGTTTGATTTGAGATCAAGCTTCTGTCTCAACTCCTTGGACACATGTGCAGATGCCTTGCACCCGAACACTTTCAAGTGAGAGTAAGAAACATCTCTTTCTGACCATTTCTTCTCTAGCACTTCTAAGTTTAAAGGAACATAAGATGACCTGTTTATAAGATAACAAGTTGTCAGCACAGCTTCACCCCAGAATGACTTAGGTAGACTAGCCATACTTAATATGCAACGAACTTTCTCCAAAATGGTCCGGTTCATTCTTTTCGGCTACACCATTGTGTTGTGGAGTTCGTGGAACCGTCTTCTAATGTCTGATTCCATATGCGATGCAATATGCTCATAACTCCTGGGAAGTGTACTCTCCTCCATTGTCTGTACATAGACACTTCAGCTTCCTCCTTGTTTCTCTTTCTACCATCGTATGAAATAGTTTGAAACGATCAAACACTTGATCCTTACTCTTTAGACAGTAAGCCCATACCTTCCGTGATGCATCATCAATGAAAGTCACGAAATATCTGCTTTCTTCAAGTGACTCCTCTTCAATGGGTGGACAAGACTGAGTAACTCTGAATGGTTCTTCCTGGTAGAACTGAAGGAAACTCTGTGTTGTTTCCCGAATAAACAATACTCGCATGGATCTAGGGAAACCCATGGAAATGACTTCTTTCTTTGCAGGAGTTGTCAGTCCCTTCACGCTCAAATGGCCTAACTTCTGGTGCCACAAGTTTGGTGATGTCTCTTCTTCAACAGAATTGAGACTTGGATGACACAACGTTACATGGGTTTTTATAAAGAGTACCACAAATATGACCTCTTGCAACAATCAATGAACCTTTAGATAACTTCCACGTACATTCTTTGAATCGGTTAAGATATCCTTGCTGATCCAGAGCTGTACCGGAGATAAGATTCAATCTAAGATCCGGAACGTGCCGAACATCTTTCAACACAAGTGCGCATCCGACATTGGTTGTTATGTTCACATCACCAATGCCAACAATCTTCGAGAAACTGGTGTTTCCCATCTTCATAGCTCCAGAGTCTCCCGATTTATAAGATGTGAATAAGTTCTGGTGTGGAGTGGCGTGAAATGATGCGGCTGTATCAACCACCCACTCAACCTCATGAGTACCTACGCATAAACATTCTTGTTCACCATGTGTAACAAGTAACACGTTTGATGACAACAAACTAACCATGGTCGCACCATCTTCTTGGATAGTATTTTGACTCGTCTGTGGCTGCTCTCGTAGAAACTTTCTACAATCTCTTTTTCTATGCCCATAATTACCACAATAATTGCAATATCCTTCAAACCAAGTATTTTTTTCAAATGACATACCTCTCTCTTGTGATCTGCCGCGAACTTGAGAATTTCCTCTATTTTGACCTTGGCCTCTATCTCGACCTCGAATTCTTCCTCCATTTCTACCTCCCCCTCATCTGTTGATTTTTGATATGAGTGCATATGATTGTTCCGTCCCGGCTTCCTTCCTTCAGGATTCTTCATTCATTAGGGCATCTGTGACCATTTGCATAGCCACCTTCCCATTAGGAGCAGAATTACTGAGAGTGACAACAAGAGTCTCCCAGCTGTCAGGTAGAGAGTTCAAGAATAGTGTCGCCTGCTCTTCATCTTTGAGAACCCATCCGGTGGTGCTCAATTGATTCACGAGATCCTGGAATTGACTGGTGTGTTCTGACACCGAAATACCACCTCGTAATTTGTGGTTTACTAATCGCCTCATTAATAACGTCTTATTTTGGGCGGTTTTTGCTTGATACATGCTACCAAGCTTCTTGTAACACCCCGCTCCGTAGGACCCGAGGTAGTTACTCCAACACACCTTCTGGATCTCTAGTACTGTCCCCACAAACCGCCACTAGCCTTTTCCGCGCACTTTTTCCTCACTCGTGCACGCCCTGAGAAACTTCCCAGGGGGTCACCTATCCCAAGACTAATCCCGTGCAAGCACGCTTAACTTTGGAGTTCTTGGATAATGAGCTCCCTTAAAAGGAGATGCACTGTGACACCGCTCCCAATTTGAACTGGGATTAATTAATCCATTAATATTAAAATTTAATAGAAATTACAAATACCAATGTTGATGAGGACGACTAGTTGAGTTCGTGAATATTTATTCATTTTGAAAACTAGTTACAAAAATATTAATCATATGAGAAATGATTAATTGATTAAATTAATACCGATTAATTATATTGTGTGTCGGACCCTAAAGAAAATGGGAAGGGACTAACTAGTATATTCTTGGACCACGTTAAAATAACTAAAAGCCCAAGGATATGGAAATAAATTATATGCAAATGTTTGAGCCGGGTAAAAGTTAAAGGAATAATATAAGAGATTTTTTGAGCCACTTTCTGATAATAGAAAGGTAAAGGGGTTTGAACCCGGAACATTGGAGAGGAATATCCGATACATTATAGGATCGGTCTATTGATGTCTACTAGCCAAAAATAATATAAGTAAACGAATAAAAGTCATTTGGGTCGGAGTAAATTAAAAGGAGCAGCCTGCGAACCCAACCCAACTAAATTGGCCCAACCTTACTAAAAATAGTAAGGATAAATGAGGGAGCCTTATCCTCTCGTCTCGTTTTTATCCATACGTATGAGAGCTAAGAAGGAGGGGAAGAAGGCTTGAAGAGCTTAACAAGAAGTCAAGAAGGAAGAAGGCCAAGAGGAGGAGCAATCCGAGAGAAAACAAAGTCTAGCGGTAAGAACCTTGTAGCTCCGGTTCTTGTTCTTCCGTTTTATA